GAGAGGCTACTATATTGTCTGCACCGTAACGGTGAGCTTCAGGTCGGCACCGTACTAGCAATATAGGAGTATTACATATATGCATTAATTGCGCATATAGACAAGGAGGGTGTGATAATCGACGTAAGGCGCTATCTCTCGGGACTGAGTCGAACCAAAACAAAGATAAATGACATGAGAGAGACAAGGATAGACATATGTGTCTCTTCGGCGCTTCTTTAAAATTTGTAATAATCTTAGTTCAAATTTTTCTTGTCTCACAGGGCTTCAAAATTCTTTTTGAAGCACTCAAAATATTTGCCTATGTTTCTAGTTTTCCAGTAAGGTAGTTTTGTTTGGATTCGTACAGCCAATTTTGCATATAAAGCAAAAATGTAGTTTATGTAATAACGGTCTATAAACTTTTTTTTGTTTTTCTTGAATTCTTATGCGTACTGCAAATCTTTAGTTTATTTTCTGTTTTTCTGGAAAAGCGTTTTTCATTCCGATTAATAGTTTGTATAAAAAATTTGAATTACGAAATGTGGATAAAACAGGACGGTTCAGCTATTATAGAGTTGAACACAAATATGCATAGGATTTCAATGGTATATATTTCAGAGTTACAAACACTCACTTCTTTTTATGATTTTTAAAAATCAATTTATAGCTTCCGTTCATTATATTAGGAAAATACCGGTCTACCGGAAAATTCTGTCCGTTTTTGGAATAAAACAAAATACAAATTTTTTAATCCTATCTTCCGAATATAGTCCGAAATGGTTTGTTGAGTTGAATTAAGCCTTACTGCGATCTCCGATGTTGTCAGAAAAGGATCTTGCTCCAACATAGTCTTAACAACATCGTCATCGATCAAAGATGGTCGCCCAGAACGTGGCTTATCAGAAAAGTCGAAATCACCTGTTCCGAATTTTTCGAACCATCTTCTGCATGTCCTATCAGAAACTGTACCTTCACCAAACACTTTCAATAAATTTCTACATGCTTCTGTAGCATTTCTTCCTTGTTGAAATTCGTATAAAATATAGTGGCGTAAATGAACTTTATCAGTAGCCATGGGTACACTATTGCTTCACACATAAGACTAACGTGAATCAACTTTGTTTTAGTTAATTTGCTACGTCAGTATGTATACATTAATTAAGTAATAAAAATAGAGAGGCACACATGCCCCAAATAAACATATGCTTACGTGTCAAAACTTGTGATAGAAACGGACAGAACTTTCCGGTAGACCTGATATATAAATTCACGGATAATATGTAAAAAAAAGTTTAGTACTGATGATAATATTTTGAGACGCAGAGGTTTTGTAAATATTTTACTTTTCAAGAAATATATTGCAAATAACTGTGTCTACATAGATGTATATTTTATAGATATAAAAAAATAGAGAGACAAGAGACAATGTTAAGATTTTTGTGTCTTATAACATCCTCACTTTTCCGTATGGTATTTTGGTAGTGATCACACATAACTGCACACATTTTGTCACTGTAACAGAAAACAAATGTTGCGTTTAAGCGTAGAAAAAATAATCTCTTGAAAACATCTTCCTGATGATAAAAAATGAATATATTTATGAATCAAGAAGAATTCTTCCTATTATGCCCATAAGAAAAAATGATGTAATTAATTATGAAATTAATTTTGTTATACTTGACTTATACAACGAACGGCGTGTTGACTTATACAACGAACAAAAATCTAGTGATGTTGATAAGTACCAGTCAAAGGGTCACATCGCTGCCAGATTAAAAATTAATCAGTGATGGTGGAAACAAACATGAAACCGGTTACTTTTGATCGTTACTCTGACGTAGCAACAATCTGGTTTTTCCTCTGAGATAGTCAGAAGGATAAAAGCGGTTCTGCATGTAGCGGTGAATTAGTGTGCAGCTGTCGCGCATCACATTCACGATCAATCTGTATCCAAGAGTCAGATTTATTCATTTTGTGTTATTAAAAAAAGTGACCGGTTGTCCTTCGGATTCGCGCGTTTAGAGTCGCAGAAAGAATAAAAGAAAAGCACAAAAGGAAGAAAACAACGGAAGAGTATCAAACATTAAAACAAACATAAAATTGTGAAAAATCTTGTATTAAAAAAGAAATTTACATTAACATCTCAAGAACACGACGTGACTAAAAAAAGATGAAGAAAGGTTTCCTGTTTATCATATCGGTTCTTTTCGCGATAATCCTCGTGAATTCTCGCGAATGTCGCGCAAATTACGTTTTTCCACCGGTCAAAGTGGAGCCGCTATATCCTGTAGGACTGCGTATGTCTATTCCCGGTAAGATATTTATATAAGATTTTAATCAACTTGCTTTTATATATAGAGAGAATATATTTAAATCTTTCTTTGTGCACGTGATCAACTTTGCGTTCTTTTTTTACAGATGAACACGGGATTACATTGGTGGCTTTCCATGTAAAATTCAACGAAGATTTCGACGGTCTGGAAGCGGGAAGTATCGCAAAAGACATCCTGAAACTGCGCGACGGACGATGGGTCTACGAAGACAAGCAGACACAATTGAGACGGGATGACATTCTTTATTATTGGATCCATGTTGTGTATAACGGTCTCGGTTACAACTTGGTCGATCAATCCCACCGAGTTGTCGGTGAGTTTCGCACGAATACGTAGGCAAAATATATAAATTTATTTTTTTTCTACTTTTCTAGATAAATAAATAAATCTTCTTTTCTAAAAGTGTGTTTTAGTTTCTTACCATTTTTTGTGTAATAAAATATTGTTATTTTCAGATTTTTACAATTACGACGGCAGTGTCCATATCAAGAGTGGGATTGCACCAGTCGAGGAACAGTGCACCACAAAATCAACCACGTGGATCTTCAAAAGTGGCTCTCGACAACAAGCCTGTCCGGGTCAATTACTTTTCGAAGAAGATTTTGATACTCTCAACAACACGAGCTGGAATTTGGTACAACGATTTTCCGGACCGCCAGTAAGTACTGTTGTCAAACAATCATGAAATAAATAATCGATTCTCAGTAAACGTTGTTGTTATTTGTGTTATTTTTGTCACTCTAGGATGATGAGTTTGTTGTCTATATGACCAATGACGTAACAGACGTGAGCGATGGCAAGCTGCGTATCAAACCGATGCTGCTTGATAACAAGTTTGGCGATAATTTTGCATCACACGGAAGTTTGAATCTAGAAGGGTAAAAATAAATAAATGATGAATTCTCTCACACTTTAGATTCAGACGCAGAAAATTCAATTTGTAATAATTGATTTTAAGAAATATATAGAAGTGCGTTGTTTTTATTAGCATACTGTCATTTTTTAGATGCACAGGTGCTGGCACGAAAGAGTGTCAACGCCGTGGCGGCGGGTTCTATGTTTTGCCTCCCATAATTTCAGGTCGTATTGACACTAAGGAAAAATTTGAATTTCTCTTCGGACGTGTTGAAGTGAGAGCCAAACTACCGCATGGTGACTGGGTATATCCAGGTAAAGAATACTAGATATAATATCGCATAAAGTTTCTTAGTGTCGATTACATATAAAAATAAATGATTTCTTCGAAGTGATAATCCTGGAGAGTACTGAGAACGATTGGGAATTTGGGATACACCACGAGATTAGAATCGCATCCTCAGTAGGCAACAGGGAACTGACTACTACCGACAATCAGAACTTCAACGAGAATATACTGTGCGCAGGTGGATTAACCGTTCGACTGAATGATAGCAATGCGATTAATATGAATTGTCGGGCGCTTCCTAAGAGACGATCGAGCAATCCGTGGTCGGAAAATCTGCATATTTTCGAGCTCGAATGGAAAAATGGTCTCATCTCAGTGAAAGTCGACGGTGTAAAATACGGCGAGCAGTCTGTGGATGCATCGTTCGGCAAACGAGTATGATAATTATCGTATTGTGCCTGTAGTTATATATCTTCACAGATAATTTGTTGAATTTTGTTAAAAACAATTAATAATTTTTAAATTCTAATATTCGAAGATGTTAACATTCGAAGATGTTTTTCAGGTTTGAACCGCGTTAGTGTTATTTTTATACCGACGTTTTCGTGAACATTTCAGTTCACTTTATCAGGGTTTCAAGAGCAGCCTGATACCGTATCAAACATCTTCGAATGTTAAGATACAACATATCGCGAAAGCATCAAATATCAGATTCGAAGATTTAAGCCGCGTTAATGTTATTTTTATATTGACTTTTCATAAACATTTTAGCTCACTTTATCAGAGTTTCAAGAACAAACTGATACTTGAAACTCTGATGAAGTGAGCTGAAATGTTCACAAAAAGTCGGTATAAAAATGACATTAACGTGGTTCAAACCCGAAAAACATATATCTTCGAATATTAATACAACACACCGCGAAAGCATCAAATATCAGATTTTTAAATTTTGTTGAAAACATATTAACAATAATCATTTTGTTTTTATAGTCGTATCTAGTTCTAGGCGTGGCTGTAGGAGGCATTCACGAATTTGCGGATCTTGTTACGAGCAGCGGTTATGTCAAACCATGGGGGAATGTCGAGGCAAAAGTATGTATAATTTTTTCAAACATTCGACAGATAACGCCGAATAAGCAAATGTGATTAATAGTGTGAAATACTTCACAGGCATTGTACAAGTTTAATCGCGCAAAAGGTGATTGGTACCCCACATGGAATGCAAAAACGGTACTAGAAGTCGATTACGTGAAAGTATGGGCATTGTGAACATTTTTCTGTGTCAATATAGTTAAAGTTGTGTTCAGGGTAAGATAAAAGATATGCCAGATTATTCAAATTTTGCCAGTCAGTGGGTAATATTAAAAAAAAAAAAATTGTGCAAAATTTCAGCTCCTTTGCGAGCCTTGTTAAAAAGTTAGCACGATTTTAATGTAACACGAGTTCTTATGGGATTTTACGATATTCTAATTTAAATAAAAAAATAACTGTATGTATGTATGTAGTAGATGTAGATATGCCGTAAGTTTGAAATTTTTTACAGTTGTTAATAAATATCTTAAAAACAAATTCCACTTGAAAAAATAGTCATTTCTAGAATATCCCATAAAATATAAATTTATATTTTGCTAAAATTAGTAAACAAATATATTTAATATACATAAAACAATTATATTTGTAATTTTATACATCAATTGTTACGTTTTAAACTTTTATGATTAATACATTTCCAGTTTTTCATTTATCTCACGTTGCAAGTAAGGTATAATCCTACTCAAAAGTATCAAAAGTGAACATTAAAATGGCACACACAAAATATACGGAAAAACTTTTCCGTAGTCATTAAAAGTATAATAAATAGTTTTTTTTACTTATTTTAGTACAAATAATACTTTTCTAACAAACAATCATTATCTAAATATTAAAATAGGTTCGGTTTACGCTATGTTTCTTAAACTTTTGACTGAGATCTTACCCTGAATACAACCTTAAGTACGTTGTTAATCTCAGAACACAAGACCTAACTCTAGATTACGTCATCGTCATAAATGAAAGAAAATGCAAAAAAACCTCAAGAAAATTCCTCTTTTATACGGAATAATCTTTGCTATTATGTTTGTTTTATTATTTCCGAACACATTTTATTATATAAGTATAAGTATAACGCACACTGATAATTATACAGATAATGATATTAACAATATTAACACAATGATTACTAATAATAATATAATATAATAAATATAACATTGTTTTTGCAAAGCACTAACTTACAAAAAAATGGAAACAATAAAGCAGACAAAAGTTCTTTGTACTCTCAAGAACACAGAAAAAGTTAAATTGTCTCTAACTGAAACTAACGTTAGTTAGTTCTTCTATTAAGAGGATGTTGGACCGCCGGCGAAAATCCGATGAGCTGCCAGAATCAAGAACACATTGCTATCTAAAGGAGGATGGTAAAGGTGGTGTTAAAAAATCACTGAGTACAGGTGGTTCACGAAGTCGAGCGACAGCGAAACCGTTTCCTAATTGTTCGATGAGCCGTTCTCCACGATACCCAAAGCGCTGTTGATACGCGATTGCATCGCGCGGTCCATCTTCGGGTCCAAATTCGATGTGCATAACTTTATCTCCGGGATTTGTGAAAGACGTGAGATAAAACGCGGTGAGACTTGCAACACTTTTTCTAGTCCATTCTCGCAATTGAGACTTTGCTTGCGGCCACGCGAAGAGCGACGAGTCGATCGTTCTGACATTCCGCGTTAACGTTGTATCGATGCACCATGCACTTGTCTATTTGTAACAATACCTCTTCGTTATTAGTAAGTATTAGTATTAATATTGGTATAAATATTTTTAGGAAATTATGTATATAATTTTAACCCTAATCCTATAAACCCCAGACATTAACCCTTTGACTGCGGCGCACTCTCAGAGAGAACCGTCGATACAGACGGCGCGATATTGACATGTCAGGCGCTGCGACTGGCTGTCGCATATATCATTACGCTCACTGACCAAAATGCACATTCTTTTAATTTTAATTGGTAATTAAATATAAAAAATTAAACAATTAATAATAAACTGAGAATCATCTCGGGCTCTGAAGTCTTTAAACTAATAAATGAATATATAATTGGTCGTAAAGAGTCGTTCGCTGAATGTTGTGCGGAAAATATGTCTATACAATATACAGGGTGTTTGATAAGTACCGTCTCACCGCTCGTAGGTAGGTAGAAGGGGTTATTCTAACAATTTGTAAGACGCGAAAAGTCCTATACCACTTCGAAAAATTCGCAATAATCAACGAAATATTAATGAATAAAGATTTGCTAATCAGCGTGCATCCAGAGTAAGGACAGCGTAAGGACAGCCCAGTCTTTCGTGCGTACGTGCCGTAGCAACAGAATGGAAGTAGCTAACATGGGTACCTTACATACACTGAGAAAAAAAAAGTTGTTGAAGTAACAAAATCGTATTTGATTCAACTATATGCGGCGGTCACGGGCTGTCAATTAAATAGTGATTAATGTAAGAAGATACCATGTTTCAATAGATATGACAATTAGTTTGTATCAAAAGACATATTCAGTTGTTTTAACAAATCTACAGTTTGTTTAAATACAGATTATTTTAAATATAAACAACACAATATTTTGTCTCCTGTAATAAGAAGCACTTTGATTAGACTAAATATTTAGTACAAATAAATTCAGATTATATTCAATTAAAGTAACCGAGTATTGCGTATTTTATTTTTTTTACCAGTATCTTTTATTTGAGGTTACTACCCAGCAAACAATTTCTGACTGCGCAGAACTGGCAACAGAAACTGTGTGCAGAAACGTTACAATACGGAAACATGCTTTGTGTGCTGCCAAAGCTGTTAACACACAGACACAAAAAACGCAACATGGTCGTCAAAATTCACCAAAACCATATCCTACTGAGGACACAGATGGATATGGATTTGGTGTGACGGTTGGCGACAAAATCGCGACATCTGACAACCAAATTGTTTGCTGGGTATATATTATCCCAGCAAACATTTTGGTTACAAAACCATATCCATCTGTGTCCTCAGTAGGATATGGTTTGTTAACCATGTCTGTCAACATGTGAAATGTCAAAATGCGACCAAAATGATGACAGAGTCTGCCACAAGCAAAGCGAAGCCAAATTATTGCCAAAGTGAAGCCAAAATCCGGAATAGGTTTGGTCATTGTCCGTTGGCGCCAAATTAACAAACAGTATACACGAACAGACCTGCTTGGCGTTTGGTGGCAATCTGTTGTCAATGCGTTTAACAGATCGACCCGACTTTTGTCGTAAACAGATTTCTGGTACAATTTTGATCAGCAGACTGTTTGGTCACAGTATTGCTAAAAGCAGATCTGCTAGCAATCGACCATCTATTTGTTGTTAATTTCACTGACCTTATATGGAATCGTTTTGACTGCAATACTCTCATGTATTTATCAACAGAGTTGTTGCATTTTTTCTTTCTGTGTGCTAACAATTTTGGCAGTGTTTCCATATATTGTAGCATTTCTGCAAACAGTTTCTGTTACCAAGGTCTGCACCGAAATTGTCAAAAACAGAAATTGTTTGCTGGGATGTTTGACAGAACGATTCATGGTTTAGTAAGTTAAATATGTTCATTACCAATATTGTTGATTCAACTTATATGAATTTGTTATATTTCTCGTCATATACTTGAATTAAAAACACAAATATTTCAGATAACAAACTGACTGCCAACTAAACCCATTAGTTGAGTTAATAATATTTTTTTCTCAGTGTAAACTGCGTTCGGACAGCGCGCTATCCGCGCTATTGCATCATTCTATGTTTATTGTTCGTTAGATGTAAAACAGATAGAATGAGACAATAGCGCGGATAGCGCGCTGTCCGAACGCAGCCTATATAAGGTACACATATTATTCTATTAGCTCCTTCCATTCTGTCGCTATGGCACGTACAGAGGAGTGCACCATATCGTACGGTTCCAGAGGAAGTATTTCTCGGAAAGTTCTCCTTCGGCTGCTCCTACTACCGCGCGCCGTTCTTCTTCGATCTCGAGCCGTTGTCAGTAGTAGGAGCAATCAAAAGAGAAATTTCGAAGAAATATTTCTCTTGGAGCCGCACGATATGATGTACTCCTGTGTACGCACGAAAGACTAGGCTGTCCTTACGCTGTCCTTACTCTAGATGCACGCTGATTAGCAAATCTTTATTCATTAATATTTCGTTAATTATTGCGAATTTTCCAAAGTGGTATAGAACTTTTCGTCTTAGAATAACCTCTTCTACTTACCTACGAGCGGTGAGACGGTACTTATCAAACACCCTGTATATGTGTGTGTATACATATACAGGGTGTCCCAGAATTGGTTTAACATCTCTCGTAGGCAGGTGGAAGGAATAAAACTGAGGTGAAAAGTCCTATACCATTTTGCTAGATTCGCAATAGTTACTGAGATTTTAATTAACAAAGATCCGCGAATAAGCATGCATCGGGCTGTCTTACGCGCGTAAGACTGCCCGCCGCGCTTCGCGCGCTAACGGTGTTACCCATAGCGACATATGGGAGGAGCTAATATAACAGCATATACTATAACATATACATATTAAAATGTAATTGTGTGAAGCGCGTAGGACAGCCCGATGCACGCTTATTCGCGGATCTTTGTTAATTAAAATCTCGGTAACTATTGCGAATCTAGCAAAATGGTATAAGACTTTTCATCTCAGTTTTATTCCTTCTACCTGTCTACGAGAGATGTTAAATCAATTCTGGGACACCCTGTATAAACGAATTCATATTTTTACGTGTTTTTTTAATTGTAATTTCAATTCTTTTAAATCATATAGGATGCTAGATTTGGATCTCGTATATGAAGGACCTCAAATAAAAAATTAAATTAAAAAAAAAAGTATATATAAAAGTATATAATTTTAAAAAAAAAAGTATTTAAAAAATTCAAAATTGATAATGAGGAACAAATTTAATTTAACATTTTTTGATAGACTTGAAGGACGTATATGTACGCCTTTCGTATATATTGATAGACTTGTGAGAGCGTACATATGCGCCTTTCGTAGTCAAAGGGTTAATGTCCGAGCGACTCTTGAAAATGAGAAAATCTTATTATTTAGTGGGAGAATGTCTAAAAACTAAAACATCAAAATTAATGCTATTTTCTTATATAATATAGAATAATGTTAAAATATCGAATTTTCGAATAAAGGTCCATGAATTTTTACAGAAGGTTTGCAACGTTTTAACTAAAATAAAAAATTCGCGTCATACATAAATGTCCAGAGTTTACAAGATATGTACCTAAAAAAAAAAAAAAAAAACATTTATAGGATTAGGATTAAAGTAATAAAAAGTTTTTTCAAAGTACATAAGTCGTATCTCGCGTTCAATCTGTTACATAGATAAATAGATAGATCACTTACCGCGCAAAAAACAATCGTTAAAAGCATTTTAGCGGAAGTTCGAACCGTGCACATCGTAAGAGCATCTACTTGAAAATACTGAACAACTATTTCCCGACGGGCTTTTATTTCAGCCCTCTTATTTCAGAAGAGGAAGTAGCGTGATTAGAATAACAATGCTCCGAGAATAATCGTTTCGCGTAAATGGATTGTTATTCGCGGGACGATCTATTGTGCAATTTTTCGAACACACGCGCGTCATTTGGGTGCGCAGTGCGTCACAAAGCTTTATACTTTCACTTTCTGACAAGTCTGGCAACATTACGACAGGCATGAGCATTTTCACGTATAAACTACATAGAACCAAACTTCGCGATAGTTGTCGTCGTGTCAGTGTCATCTTTTAAAACGAATCAGATGATGGATCGAAAACGGATGATAGTAAGTTTAACTTAACATACTTCTGTAATAAATTGATCTTACGATTAATGACAGTGAAGATTTTCAAAATTTTCGACAAACAAATCTTATCACAAAATCAAACATTTATTTATTTTAACGCTACTCTTCTCTCATTCATTCTCTAAATTGTTTTTTGTGCATTGCAGATCATCGTGCTATTAGTACTATTACTTCATAAGGAAACAATTGTATCGAGTCAATCGGAGATCCACAAACTTATACACGATTTTTTTAAGTACAGAATCGCAGGCGCACCTAGAGCTTATCAAGTAAACGAATATGCATTGAAGATTTTATTCTTCTGTCGGTTTAAATTGTTTATCTTATTTGTTTATATATTGACGGTTTTTTAAACAGAAAACACTTTGGAACTTTGACCCTGATGACGAGCAAAGAACGCTTCAATACGTGCAGGAAAACGGACTTCACGGAGAGTATGTAATAGCAAGACTAGGAATGGGCATTGAATACAACGAGCCATCAAAGAAACGCTTGTAAAAACTCGATAAATCATGATATTTTTGATAGCACAATTTTTGTTTAACTTTAACAAAATAAAATGTTATTATCATGTATATGCTGAATGTTATGTAATAAACCCACCTAATGTTATGTGACTTAAGTTCTTAAATGTAAAATGTAAATGAGATAATTGCTTTACATATATTTTTGTACTTTGTGCAATCACAAAGTTAATTTTCACACAAGATGGCGTACAAAAGAACTAATAATAAAATAATACCAATAAAATAAGTTATGTGCCGACGGCGTATAAAAATGACATATAAAAATTTATACATTGGTTTGGTTTTATATACAAACAGTAATCAAATATAGTTAAAAAAATATTTTTACTTATAATGCGTGAGATTTCTACTAAAAATTTCTACTAAAAATTTTCTTTAAAAATAGTTATATTTGACATTTCTTTCTCTTTAAAAAAAAAAAGTGTTTTACGATCAGAATCCAAAGTAGAACACTACATGTCGTAATATAATATATCCGAGAACTTTCACATCTTATATACGACCGTAAGAAATGAGGATAGTAGGGGGAAAGAAGAATGACCAACAGTCTCAGTCAGTGCTTCAACGAATCTAGAACGTAACAGTTGTTGGATACGCGACAAGCATCATCTTGCGGTACAACGATTTTTTCAATTAATTAGTTCGCGATTAACTGTTTACTTTAAAGAAAACTTTTTGTTATTATATATATTATTTTTAAAATTTCCTCGGAATTTCTCTCTATCTCTCTGCCAATTGGAAGAACGCTTGAACTTGGTCCACTCACGATATTATCGTCTACCATGAAAAATTTTCCTTTTGTAAGTAACACAAGATCAGAAAAATATAAATTTGTTTTCGCATGAATATCACACACACAAATCAAATGCTCAAACAAAAATTTAATTAATTTATATGTATAATACTTACTCCTTTATATTGCAACTTTCACATTTCTATGAGGGCGCGAGTCGAAAATCAACAGTCAGTTTTTTATATATAACACATCTTTACACATTACAACAGACTTATATTTTTATTGTTACTCTTCAAGCATCACACTGTTCTCTATTCTTCATTCAAAATTATTCTTCCGAGATTCTACTTGCGGGATATCTGTAGACTATAAATGTAAATAGAGAAATACGCGTATCTATCTCTCCCCTTCTCTGCGAATAAAGGAAAATACTTTCTCTCGCTTCGCGTCCAAATATTTGATGTTCTATATTTGCAGTTGCTGTCTGTAACCGCAATAACTGCGATCTTTAGCTTTGTTCTGATCGACAGAAGCACAGCTATAATTCCCGAACCTAAAGCACCAAATTTTCAATATTTCGAACGGTAAGTTGAAGAATAAAAGCACAAATATCTTTGACATAGAAGCTCTAAGGCTCAAAATTTAAACAGCATCGTTGAGCATGTAGTAATTGAACTTACATTTTACAGGCCGAGATATCGTTACCCGTATTACGATGAGAACGGTAAAGGAAAGCTGTTGTACGGTTACGGCGGGCCGGAATTGTATCAATATAAAACGTTCAGTCTTCTTGAAGGAATTTATTAATATAATTTATTAATATACTTATTTAGATCAAACTTATCAGAAATACAATGTGTGTGAAACATTGTTGTATGCATATAACGAATAAATGGTAACATTCTCAGATAAACTGTACACAATTAATTGTTTATATACTTTGTACAAAGATATCAATTGGAGTTATATCATTAGCATAATACAAGATGTGAATCCTTTTTTTTTTGTTGATAAGACAACGAAATAACAAAGTTTTGTTGTTGTTGTTGGTCAAATTATAGACTTACTACTACGCTAATTAGAGAAATGCTTCATTTGTTCGTTGTAGCGCAATTTGTAATTACATCTTGCCATTAAAAGCACGTCATTTCGCAATCGAATAAAATCATAGAATATATGAAGAACATCGTACACGCGCGTTTAATTTTCGCCAATTACAACTACTCTTAAATGCAATCGATTCGTATGACTTCGTTTCAAGAACTACAAATACACGTTCGTAACTCTATGTAACTTACTAATAAAATGACACACGAGAGATGCTTCTCTTCTACCAATTGACAGACAGTGAATGAACGCGATTTAATCGCGTTTATCATAAAACTCGTTATATTATTTTTTGGTTTTAGAAAAAAATCTTAGATATAGATCTACATTGATTAAAGTGTAAACATTGTTTCGAGTTAGTCTACGAATAATAATATTGTACATATGTGTGTGTGTGTATGTGTTTGTGTGTATATATATATATAGAATCGTTAAAAAATATTGATTTATCAAATATCCATGGAATGTGCAATAACGCCAATATCATCATCCATATAAAACAATAATTTGTCATTATTCACGATTGTAAAGACAATAATAAAATGTAAATCTAAGATATAATATAATCTACTGCATATCATTGTCGAGAAGTGGTTTTCTTTTTTTCTCTATATGTGCGCTGAACATGCAAAAAACGCGATGAAAATAGAATCCAGATTATTTGTAATCACTGCGTAATTGAAAAACGTAGAAACTCTATCGTTTAAGGTGATTACTTTCCGTTATGCGTGATAACGCATGCGTGTGTGTATAAAGTGTACATGATAAAGTTACGGAATTACATATGCGCAAGCATAGTCGAGCAGATGCGAGTTAGCGAAAAGTAATGATTTGGTAGAAACGAATATGTGATCGACTGCATAGTGATGTCGAGCAAATATAATTGATGCGCTTTATTCATTATGATTTTTATTCGCCTTGCTTTCGCTGGCACACTGTAACTGTCATACGAAATCCATTTCGAACTTGTTGTAATACTGGCCGTTGACGCGGCGTCTGTGCAACTGTCTCTCGACGAATTTCTTTATCTCACTGATCACGAACACGCTGGACGTCAACGCCGCCAAAAATAAAAGATCTAAAAATCGAAAATTAACGCGTTATATCAAGAAACGTACTCGATTATTTTACACAGTATTATTAATGTTATTACCTTTCGCTGTAAGAGCTTCAGTCTGAAATATTCTCTGTAACGGAGGAAAGTAAATTACGAGCATTTGTCCGATAACGGATAACGTTACAGCTACCAGGAACATTTTATTACTCCACAGACCAATTGTAAATATGGATTTTGTCTGAAACAAATGAAAAAAAACTTGAAGAATGCAGTATGATTCTGTTTCTTATTAATATTTATCACGCCGATCGGAGATAAAATTTTTACCTGCGATCTACAACTAAGAGCATTAAACATATCGAAGAACACAAAACAAGTAAATGTCATAGTAGTATCTCTTGCCGTATTTCCATTAACCATCTGAAAAAATCAAAGATATGTATTTATATATATGTATATGGAAAAAATATTAAAGATTCGTAAAAAAATTTTTGAAAAAATCTTCATGTTGTTACCTCTCTGTTGTAGACCCACAAAGTACCAAGAATAATGATACTTGCTGACAATAAAACATTAATTATAAGATGACGTGTAATCATAGGCTCTTTTGTGTTTCGCGGCTTTTGCTTCAGAACGTCCTTATCAACCGGCTCTACTCCAAGACTGTGCAAACAAAATCAATGTATAAAAACATTATGTAAAACAAAGTGATCATTCAATAATATATCTAAACAAGTATTCACTCGCAAAATATCTGACCTTTGAGCAGGCGGACCGTCCATGATAATATTGATCCATAGAATTTGCATAGCATTTAAGGGATTCGGTATGCTCATCAACGTTGCAAGAGCAATCAGAGAAAGTGCGGCTATACTAGTACTTAATTGGAACCTCACGAAATTGCGTATATTATGAAAGATTCCCTTGCCTTCTTCAATTGCTGCACTAAAATGAAAGTATAATCGATAAAAGCAACATTTCCAATGTACAATCTATCTATCCATGTTAGGAAATGAAATATTTACATGATGGTTTCAAAATCATCATCAACCAAAATCATATCGGCTGCTTCCTTGCAAACGTCAGTGCCGTTTTTGCCCATAGCGATACCTATATCAGCTTTCTTTAACGCGACTCCATCGTTTACGCCATCACCGGTCATGCCAACTATATTACCGTTCCTCTGTAAAGCTTTTACGATGCAAAGCTTGTGCTTTGGTGTCACTCGATAGAATACACTAACATTATTAATACATTGTTCTAGTTGATGTTCGGACATCATGTCGATTTCGTCTCCTGATAACAGTCGACTGTGAAGCGTATCCAGCCCGATCATGCTAGCTGAGAAATATAATAAAAATATACTTAATATATATCATAATTATTTTATAGTACATATTTTTCATAAACTACTGTATTATATGTGTTTTGTACAAGTTCACTAGAAACTTATGTTCTTCATACTACGCTGCATTATATATACCTATTGCAACTGCAGTTTCCTTGGCATCACCAGTAACCATTTTTACTTTAACACCGCTGTTTATTAAGATACTGATAGATTCGCGTACATGTGGTCTTGGTGGATCGCAAATACCAACAAGACCGACATATATCAGGTCTTGCAATGAGGAACCACGTGCCAAACCAATCACTGTAACAAAAGTGATATTAACTATAAAAAAAGATAGGATCTAACGTTATCAATTTGTACTTATTACGATATATTTGATGCTTTCGCGGTGTGTTGTATTAACATTCGAAAATGTTTTTCAGGTTTGAACTGCGTTAATTTTTATACCGACGTTTCGTGAACATTTTAGCTCATTTCATCAGGGTTTCAAGAGCAGTCTGATACTGTACTTATTATATTATATGCAAAGATGTAATTAATACCTCTCAATCCTTGCTGACCAATGTCATATGCTTCCGTCAAGAATTCTTGATCCTTCTTCTGACTAAGAGGATACACCTGGCCGTTCTCGTAATACTTAGTACATTGCGGCAAAATCTTCTCCAAAGCACCTTTCACAAAGTATATCTCTTGTCTATTCTGAAATATTACAAATGTTCTACATCTTAACATTCTGAAGAATAAAAATAATTTGTTTTTTCAATACAAGGACGCAACATTTGTTTTTTGTTTTTTATTTCTAATTACCTCACCGAACTTAGGTGTGCATTTTACAGCCATCATTTTCTGTTCGGACGAAAACGGATATTCCTGTAATCGCAGATATTTATCGGCGACGCCGTACATTCCGAATTTCATTGCCACGGCTATCAACGCGCCTTCCGTCGGCTGTCCTAGTAAAGTTTCATTCTGTATAATAGCGTTGTTACACACGCAGCCTACTTCCAGCATGTTACTAATAGCGACACGCGCTAGATCGGTATTATCGCATTTCCGTATATGCACTTCTCCCACGCCGTTGTATCCAGCACCGGTGACATCCGCGATATAACCTTCCGATGTCACTAGAATCGTGGCGGTCATCTCGTTTTTCGTAATCGTGCCAGTCTTATCGGAACATATCACATTTACACAGCCTATGAATAGCGTAAATATTCCTATCACAAATGTCTGAATGTTTTGCATCATTTACTTTGTAAGTTAAAAACAAAACTTTTAAAGATAAATTAATTATACATATGACTTGCGTAAAGTATATATATGTATATATGTACACACACACACACGCGCGCGCGTGTAAATTAGAACTCACCAAGAGTCTCCACAGTTGGTAATTTTTTTACAATGGCTTTTCTCTTAACCATTCTCATAACTCCCAATGCCAGTGTCACAGTTACAACGATAGGCAAACCTTCCGGAATAGCTGCTACTGCCAAGCTTACACCAATGGTAAACATTTCAAGGATAGCCTTACCTTGAATCCAGCCTAGCAGCATAATGATACCGATAATGCAAAACGAATAGAAGGACAGCTGAGTACCTAAAATGTCCATGCTTCGCTGTAGTGGAGTCTTTGGAGCCTCCTCAGCTTGCATCATCGAGAAAACCTCCCCAAATTCACTCTTTACTCCCGTATTCACTACAATTCCCTGTATCGCGCGATATCGTAACATAAGTTGATGATGAGTGTATATACGTCACTCCCAAATAGTTTTTGCTTTTCAACCAAAAATAGAACAGAACTTACTTTGCCGTTTCCGCAGCGTACCAAAGTGCCCATAAAAGCGATGTTCTTTTTCGATGTCAACCCATTGATCTTGAGCAACGGAGCTGTCGACTTTTGCGCTGGCTCGATTTCACCAGTAAAACTGCTCTCGTCGATTGCCAGATCTATAGCCTCAAATATTCTAATATCGGCAGGTACTCTGTCCCCGATATTCAGATACACTATATCACCAGGAACTAAATTACGCGCAAGAAATGTTTCTACATGGCCCTCTCTTAAACTAAAAGCAAAACAACATTAGAGAGATAACGATTTTATTTGTTCTTTTATTTTTCCAAAGATTCTGTTTAAAAAATATAGAATTTGCTTTATAGAAGCAAATTTCATCTCTTACGGTTTTACAATAACATATCTTCCTGACTAAGGGAAAAAAATGTTTTGTGTATAAAAAGGTTAGTATATATGTTTTCTATGAAAGAATCATATACTTCTATAAAAACAATACTATAAATGTTTCTATGCATGCAATTTTTATAGTTTAATCAAAGATATGTACACAATTGCAACAAAAGCGTTTCTATTGAAAAGTATCTAGTTACCAGTGACATATCGGTGGTACCAATTTATTTAATTCTTCTAAGGATTTTTCTGAGCGATATTCCTGTACAAATGCAACTGTTACCACTATTATGATAGCCTACAAAAGAACATAATCATCACAAATATATATAAAGCATTAATTATTTGATTTCTGGAAAACTTGTTGAGTGTAACATTTGAATATTATCACTGTAATAACTCAGTAGTAACTTACCACAGTAATACTAACAGCATCATCAAACTGTTTCATAAAGACACTTACAAGTGCAGAAGCAAGTAAGAGAAGAATCAATGGATTCTTAAACTGAAAGAATATATAAATTCAACCAAATGTATAAACTTGTCTGAATGTGCAATCATTAAAATTATATTTAAATATCAATAAGTAGATAGCAGACAAAATAAGGATTTTTGTACCTGTTCAATATATTTTTTCCATGGTGGATCTTCTTCTTTTACAGTAAATTCATTGAAACCTGTTAATTGCCTTCTTTGATCAGCCTCCTGCCATCTCAGGCCTGTTCGCACATCAACATGCAATCTAGCTGCTACTTCTTCAGCTCCTAGACTAGCTGATTCACTAGTTGTTAGCCACATCTCTGAGTTATTTTCTTTATTCTTAAAAAGAAAAAATCAAATATTAAGTATTATAGAGAAGGTCTTTCTTTTATTTAAGAAAAGTTCTTGTCTAAGTTCTTGTCTGAATATGAGAGCAATGTTTTAACTAACATAAAATTGTGAAAATGTTTCCTTCCCTGAAGCTGAATTGACACGTTCCTGTTACTGATATGACATGAAGATCCTGTCACATGCACGTGCCATGCTATCGAAATTAATGAAAGAGAAAATCACAAACAAAGATTATGGTGTAATTATAATTCATGTCAATTATAATATTGAAAATAACGAATGACTTGCATGTACAACAGAAAATCACGACAGTTTGAACGCTAACCTCAAACAGTGACAGCACTAAGGTTTTTTTTTAAGTTTCACTCAATCCATTTGGAAATTATTTGTAAACAAGTGTTAACAATGATTTAATTCGCGCGTAAATCATAGAAATTAGAAAACAGGTTGGTGAGAAAGCTACATATCAAGAGAAAAACCAATCACACAAGTGAGTGTACATAATGAGTGTACATTAGTACACAAACGAAATACGGATGGACACGTTCGAGTTTGATGTTGATAATACCACATACATACGTGTGGAAAATAATACCGCATCGCTAAACTATTTTTTTTTTTTTAATTTCTCTATAGTGATAAAAGAGCTTAAAAAATAACTTTGTAAAAAAATCATATCTAGATAAAAATAAAATTTATATATCACTTTTTTAAATCATATATAATATATATATAGTTTTTTTTATTTAGCACCATTTTGATACGTGTTTTTAGGAAAAACTTTTTTTAAATTAAATACGTATATGTATATAAAACCTTAAATTAATATAAGTTAATAAAAACCCACAAGTGAAATAACAATGCAACAGTGAATAATCATGCTCTTGTGCAGTTTTTCACTTAAAAATATATCAATGTTATGTGAAGATTTTAAAGATCATCAATACAATTCAACTTTCGTTACGCATTATAACTACGGTAACCATATTTTTTGGAGAAAATAAAGGACAACTTAGAATTTGTTTCACAATAAAAAAGAACAAGTTTTTTGTTAGACTAAAATTAAAAAGCTTTATAACTGTTATTATAAAATATAAGCATATACAATATAGCATATGTAATATATAGCATTTTAAATAATATATTACTTAACTATCATTACTTAAAAAAATATCATATTATTACTTAAACAAATTTAATTTTGATACTTTTTACAAGAATGAACTTGTTTGTATTAAATCAGATTTGTGTTTTACAAATTCTTAAAACTGTACAGGTACAGTTCATGTCAAAGCTGCATTTGGTAGAAATGCATGCTTCCGATGTTTCAATTTTTAATTTTATTGGGTTTTTTCACTGGTTCATATAATTGTTCACTAATGAAAATACTCAATTATAAATACTCCTAAAATACTCCGTTTGATGAGAGCGTTAGATACAGAAAGACATAAGCAAAATTCAACAATTTGTAAAATGTACAAAGATGTTTTTTCGGGTTTGAACCGCGTTAGTGTCATTTTTATACCGACGTTTCGTGAACATTACCCTGATGAAGTGAGCTGTAATGTTCACGAAACGTCGGTATAAAAATGACACTAACGCGGTTCAAACCCGAAAAAACATCTTTGTATGTTAATACTACACACCGCGAAAGCATCAAATATCAAATTTGTAAAATGGTTTTAAAATATGTGTTTATCTGTAAAATATTTAAAAATTACAACTCATCTACGTTGGCAGAATTTGTCATTATGTTTCCATTCTTTAATCTTTGGTGACATAACTTTTAATACACAAAACTTTATCAAATAGTTCGCCGTCATTTATATTTAAACTCCAGTGACTAGAAATAAACAAAATGCTTTTCTCGATCTTTGCCCACAAAAGAATTTCTCGTAGTAGAACCCATTCAAATCCATTTCTACAAAAGAGCTGTCTCCTCAGAGTTATTCAAATAATCAATGCGGGTTTAATAAAATTTATGTATTGCACCTTTAAATATATTGGCATTAATGTTTTGATTTTTTACTCAAACTAAATTTTTTTTTTAATAATATTTTAAGGCTCGTGAAAATGTCATACAAGAATATAAGGCCGATACGAGCCATTCCCAGGATGTTGAGCAGGAACTTGAACGTGCATACATATATGTATACATCTATAACAAGTATTACTTGTAAATTTTTACAAGTT